TCTCAGGTCTCTCGCTGGCCTCTCTCTGGTCTCTCTCTCTGGTCTCTCTCAGGTCTCTCTCTGATCTAACACAATGGTCTCTCTGTTTTTTCTCTCTGGTCTCACTCTATGGTCTTACTCTGGTCTCTCCCCCTCTGGTCTCTCTCTGGTCTCTCTCTCTGGTCTCTCAGCTCTCTTTCTGATTTCTCTTATGTCTCTCGCTGGTTTCTCTCAGGTCTCTCTCGCTGGTCTCTCTCTCTGATCTCTCTTTGGTTCCTCCCAGGTCTCTCTCTGGTCTATCTTTCTGGTCTCTCTCTCTCGCTCTCTGGTTTCTCTCAGGACTCTCTCAGGTTTCTTTCTCTGGTCTAACATACTGGTCTCACTATCTCTCTCTCTGGTCTATATGTCTGATCTCTCTCTCTCTCTCTCTAATCTTTGTCTCTGGTCTCACTCTCATGTCTAACACAAAGACCAGCTCTCTCTCTGGTGTTTCTCTGGTTTCTCTCTGACTTATCTCGGGTCTCCCTCTAGTGTATCTTTCTGGTCTCTCTCTCGCTGGTCTAACACAATGGTCTTTCTCTGGTCTCTCTCTCTGGTCTAACACAATGGTCTTTCTCTGGTCTCTCTCTCTGGTCTAACACAATGGTCTTTCTCTGGTCTCTCTCTCTGGTCTAACACAATGGTCTTTCTCTGGTCTCTCTCTCTGGTCTAACACAATGGTCTTTCTCTGGTCTCTCTCTCTGGTCTAACACACTGATCTCTCCATCTCTGACTCTGGTTTATCTCTGGTCTTTCTTTCTGGTCTCTCTCGCTGATCTTTTCCTCTGGTCTCTCTCTCTTATTGGTGTTCTATTTGCAGTAAAACCACATTGGCAAAACTGTACAAGGCCTCCCCAGTGTGCAGCAGACAGAGAAGTTGGTCCAATCACAGTAAAGTAACAGGAAGAACGGAAAGAGTTTGCAGCAGTTTTGAACGAGTGAAAAAGTGTGGATGAGCGAGTGGAAAAAGGATAAGACCATCTCATACGAAGCCGCTTTATGGTCCATGATATTCTTATTTGTGCGTTTGCTGAGTGTGCTCTGCTGGTGCTTCATGAGCTGTTTGATTATGGCGCTCTCGCAGAAAGCCTCAGGTGCACATTTCACTGCAGAGAGGAGACAGTACTGTACCAACAACTCTGTCTCTGCGTCCTGAAGCCATGGTTCAAGGAGCACTGGATTTGTTTAAAATGCATAAAGGCTGGAAAGAACTAGAAAAACTTATTAACTTAATAACTTATAAACTAAAAATAGCATAAATGATGCTTAGTTTTTAATGGCAAGTTGTTTTCTTTGTGCTTGAATGTAGTTTGTCATGAGATTATTTGACTAATAACTCCATCCATCCATCCATTTTCTTCCCCTTAATCCATTTCTGGGTCGGGGGGTGGCAGTCAGAGCTGCACCCAGCCCCTCACTGATCCTCCTGCAGGTGCTGAGTCCATAGGAGCTGAGATCTTGCAGTTGGGGCTTCAGGCAAAGTGGGGTTAAGTGTCTTGCCCAAGGACACAACGACACCAGTCATGAGTGGGAGTCGTAAAGTAGGTCTTACGGTGGGCTCGAACCCACGACCTTCAGGCCCAAAGGCTGATGCTCTACCAACTGAGCTACTGTTGCCCCTAACTAATAACAAATAACTTCATAATCTTATTAAGAAAAAGTCTGAGCAGTGAGTTTTTAAGCCTAACCCTAACCCTTGTTTAGATAAAATAAGTTTGTGATGCTGTATTTTAAGAAACAAGTAAATAATTCTTGTATGTTTTTAAACTAGAATCAAGTTGTTTGGGATTAGTATTATTTACATATTTTTTTGTTATACTGATCATTTATCTTTTTTTAGCAGCATTTTAATAATTTTAATATATTTTTTGCTTATTGTTTTCAAAGGATTTTTTACTGAAGGAAGACAGGGCATCAGCGTCAAAATACAGGTCAGATTTTAAATAATTTTTTACAAGAATATAAGAAGTAACTGAAGTGAGAGCAAAAGTGAGAGAAGGTCTGGTTGTGACAAAACATTTGTGACGTAGACAATGATACAGGTCCTTCTAAAAACATGAATCTATAGACATGAAAGTAAATGGTCTCTCTCTGGTCTCTCTCTGGTCTCTCTCTGGTCTCTCTCTCTGGTCTCTCTCTGTTCTCTCTCTGGTCTCTCTCTGGTCTCTCTCTCCGGCCTCTCTCTGGTCTCTCTCTGGTCTCTCTCTGGTCTCTCTCTGGTCTCTCTCTGGTCTCTCTCTGGTCTCTCTCTGGTGCCTCTCTGATCTCTCCCTGGTCTCTCTCTGGTCTCTTTCTGGTCTCTCTCTGGTCTCTCTCTGGTCTCTCTCTGGTCTCTCTCTCTGGTCTCTCCCTGGTCACTCTCTGGTCTCTCTCTGGTCTCTCTCTGGTCTCTCTCTGGTCTCTCCCTGGTCTCTCTCTGGTCTCTCCCTGGTCTCTCCCTGGTCACTCTCTGGTCTCTCTCTCTGGTCTCTCTCTGGTCTCTCGCTGGTCTCTCTCTGGTCTCTCTCTGGTCTCTCCCTGGTCTCTCTCTGGTCTCTCTCTGTTCTATCTCTGGTCTCTCTCTGGCGTCTCTCTGGTCTCTCTCTCTGGTCTCTCTCTGGTCTCTCTCTGGTCTCTCTCTGGTCTCTCTCTGGTCTCTCTCTGGTCTCTCTCTCTGGTCTCTCTCTGGTCTCTCTCTGGTCTCTCTCTGGTCTCTCTCTGGTCTCTCTCTGGTCTCTCTCTGGTCTCTCCCTGGTCTCTCTCTGGTCTCTCCCTGGTCACTCTCTGGTCTCTCTCTGGTCTCTCTCTGGTCTCTCTCTCTGGTCTCTCTCTGGTCTCTCTCTGGCCTCTCTCTAGTCTCTCTCTGGTCTCTCTCTGGTCTCTCTTTGGTCTCTCTCTGGTCTCTCTCTGGTCTCTCTCTCTGTTCTCTCTCTGGTCTCTCTCTGGTCTCTCTCTGGTCTCTCTCTGGTCTCTCTCTGGTCTCTCCCTGGTCTCTCTCTGGTCTCTCTCTGGTCTCTCCCTGGTCTCTCTCTGGTCTCTCCCTGGTCTCTCCCTGGTGTCTCTCTGGTCTCTCTCTGGTCTCTCCCTGGTGTCTCTCTGGTCTCTCTCTGGTCGCTCTCTCTGTTCTCTCTCTGGTCTCTCTCTGGTCTCTCTCTGGTGTCTCTCTGGTCTCTCTCTGGTCTCTCTCTGGTCTCTCTCTGGTCTCTCCCTGGTGTCTCTCTGGTCTCTCTCTGGTCTCTCTCTGGTCCCTGTCCGGTCTTTTATTTAGTCCTATTCCAGGCCACACTGAAACAAACATATTCTGATCCTCTTTTCTTGAACGCACCGCGTCGCTTTCCAATAATTCAGCGGTGAAACCATTTTTGGCACTGTTTTTTCTTTTGTTTGAAACGGCGAGTCGAGGGTGAGACGCCTCCAACAGAAACGGCACCAGGAATCTGCCGCTCAATACAGTCGTCAGATAGTGTTGTAATTGTGGAGGCCCAAAGGTGGATAGATTTCCCCAGAGTCTGATGTGGTCTAAGTAGTCTTCTCTCTCTGTCTGTCTCTCTCTATCTCTGTCTCTCTCTCTCTTTCTCTCCTTCTCTCTCTCTCTCTCTCTCCTTTTCTCTCTCTGTCTCTCTCTCTGTCTCTTTCTCCTCTCTCTCTCTCTCTCTCCTTTTCTATCTCATCTCTGTCTCTTTCTCCTCTCTCTCTCTCTCTCTCCATCACTAGGCACTTGCTCATGTTAGGTAAAAGGTAGGGTGGGTTCATATGAGGGAGGCGGGGGAAAAATTGGGAAGGGTACCAAGATTGAGGGGGAATGTGAGACACATTGATGGGTAAAACAGAGTAAAAAAGGGTGAGGGGGGGAATAGAGTGGGGGATGTTAGGGGATGAAATTATAATGGAAGTGAGAGTCACTCAAACATTGTTCTGGGGAAATCACATCAGACAAGTATATGATCTTGTCATTATCTGTGGTATATCGGTGAGATAACATATCTCTCTGACATCTAGAGGGATAATATTAGGGGAAGATGTGGACAATATTGGAGGTGAGATAATAAGGCATTGTCTAAGAGTCAGCATGAGGAAAGGGAGACTTCTTGTGTTAGGGTGACAGAGACAAGACGCATTTAGGAGCGACAGAGTCACTAAAGTGGCTATAAGATAGGGTTAGTTTAGGTGGGTAGGGTAGGGGGGGGGGTAATATGCAGGTGGTCATCTCATAAAATATGAGGATCACATATGGATGGAAGGGATAGACAACACATATGGGAGCAGTGTATGAATCTGTTTTAGTTACATAATGATGATAAGTATACGGTGGAGTAACGTGAGAGGCGGCATGTAGGGGGAATCAGGCTAGAGCGGAGGGAGTAGACTGCGTGTATGGGGTGTGGTGAGAGATAGGTTACTATAAAGGGCGTGGACACGGGGTCAAGGGTGGGAAGGCTTAAGGGCAGGTGCAGACATGGACAGTATGGTGTAAGTGGGGCAGGGACACATCTGGGAGGGGATGATGAGGAGGTAGAGTCTGAATTGTTAAATAGGGGATATGAGGACACGATAGATGGGACTGGTTGGGATGGTAGAAAAGGGGGCATGACAATGGAGTGACAGGACATAGATCTGAGGTGTGTCTGATGAGACAACTATAGTGGGGGGGGTTGTGAGAGCGGCGTGGTGGGGAGTTGTGGTGTGCAGATCGAACAGGTGAGACTTGTGGATGAACTCAGTGTGGATGTAGGTGAATTGGGATGACAACGGAGTTTAAGGAGGGGAGGTAAAGTAAACTGTGGAGAGTGTGGTAGCGATGTAGGAAAGATGGGACTATGGCGTAAAAAGTTATGTGGTTTTAATACAGTCATATGATCAGACAGGGCGGATCGATGGTGGGGTGGTTTGGGATGTGGGGTATCTAAGTACAGACGGAGGAAGAGGAGACTATGGTATGATCATTGCAAATTCTGTCAGGACTATTGTTGGGAAGTCCACAAGAATGGTAGAACATCCACTCAATGGTCGTGATGATGGAGTGGAGTGGTGGGTTGTGTGGGGGAGATGAGGGGCACTTGTGTTCTAGGTAGGTGTATTAATTTGTTTTGTTATTGTTGATTTTGAAATAATAGAGTAAGATATAGGAGGTTGGATCATCACAGTCGGAGATAAGTATGGATCTGTAGGGTACCAGTGGGCTCTCTGTTGCGAGTCTGCTAAGGTGGTTGTTAAGACATATGTCTTGGGGTCATGTGGGGGGGTCTAGGCGTCATGTATGTCATCTCTGGGTGTGGGAACACTAAGTACTTAGTTTTATATGTTGATGTGATTATGGTTTTGGGGTAGGGGATTACAGCTGAGAGTCAGGCTTGGGGTTAATACTTGGGAGGTTGGGTCTTATGGACAGGTATCGATTATAGTTAGGGTGTCATTGGGAAGGGTCTATCTTTGAGTTATGGGGTGTAATCGGGGAGACACAGGGTATGGGGGGGTGTCATACTAGTGATATATTTCAGGTAGGACATTGTAGGGTACTATGTTGTCCATCGGGGTTCTCTAGTCATATAGTGATCTATGATTGATCAGTTTTAGTGGCGTAGACGGGGAGGGACAATGAGAGGGGACAGGTGAGTAGTAGGGTGGAGTAATATGGCGGATATGTGCTGTGCAACGATGACGGGCATTAAGGTCTAGACACACAGTACTAATTATTGTAAGGGTTGGTGAGGTGGGGTATAGTAGGTGACAGTGGGTGGGGATTATTCAATTAATAGTAAAAACAGAGGGGGAGTGGAGTACTCTCTCAGACGCACAGACTGGTGGGGGGGATAAACAGGGTAAGTATATAATAGATGGTATAGAGGTTTGTATGTGGCGTATTTTGGGGAACGAGAGCTCACGTCGGATGATAAGTACATGAGGGGAGGGGGGTCTATCATGTGATAGTCACGGAGTAGGTCCATATGTAAGACAGGGAAACTGGGGGGGGGGGGCAAGAACAGACAGGTGGACATGATGGTTGGGGATACACAGGCTAGGGGGATAGGGTGGGTTATAAGATAACATGGGCATGGTGGGTGTGAACAAGAGTATAGACAGGGTCTGTGGATGCGTGGTGGGGGGGTAGGAGGGACAGAGGGAGTGTAATAATTAGTACACATAGAGTGGGTGGAAACATAAAGTTGAAATATATTAGCGTTGGATAATAGGACGATGACACTGGTAAGGGGTTATGAAATGTGAGGTGAGGTTCACACGTCTAGAGAGAGGGTGGGGTAAAGGGGAATTCGGGGGGGACGTGAGAAGTGCAAGGAGTGACATAAAAGAAGAGGAAGATGGACAATATGTGGGATAGGGAGAGGAGTGGTGGAACAGTAGGGGGGGATGGTGTAGTTGAAAATACAGATGTTATACTATTACTGTTACGACAAATCGGTAAGCACACAGATGGAGTGCATGGGGAGGAGTGAGGATAACAAGTGTCAATCAATGTCTGGAATCAAGAGAACTGCAGAGGTCAGGGAAGACAACCTGGGATGAGGTTGTGGAAACTGGAGGTCTGGGAGTAAATATAGGAGACTAGATGGACAGTGCAAGCGACAAGAGATGTTTGGAGAATGGGACTAGGTTGGGAGGTAAAGCACAGATAGAGGAAATGAGTTAGGCCTTGGGTCAGGATTGCAGTGGAGGCAAAAAAATACGAGCGGGGGGTATTGGGCAAGATTGATCACGGGATCAGGTAGATTAAAGGGGGATGGGAACACAGATTCAGCATTTATAAATAGTAGGGTTTTTAGTATATAGGGAATAACACATAAGACAGTACAGGGGAAGTTTGAGTGAGAGGGGGGGGGAACTCAGGGGGTGTAAGTGGGGTGGATGAAAGTAGGGGGCTGGTGAAGAATAAGACAGGGGAAGCGCGAGTCGGAAAGGTAGGGAGTAGCAAGGGTTATTTTATAGACTTAATTAATAATGGTTGTCACATTAGTGGGTGGTGACTGGAGAAAAATTGCAAAGGTTCGGGTTAGGATGTCATAGAGGGGGTGGGATGGGGAAGGCGGATTTAGTATAGGGTGATACGTGACACATTTTGACAAGAGGAGGGTGTGGGGGATTGGAGAAGAGTGTAATGAGGTAGTACTGATGAGGGAAAGAGGTAGAGTGTGGACAACACTGGGTGGATGGTGGAGGGAAAGGGAGAGCATGTCTTGGGAGTAGGAGTAGACACTGGGTGTATTATACGAGCACAGATTTAACATACGGACGATAATCGTAGGGGGAGTCACTGGACACAGGTATCAAGAAGGGCGTCAGGACTTGGGGGGGTGTAGTGGTGGGTCACTGTGGTTAAAAGAGAGATCAAGTGGTGTGATGGGGTGAGGGGGTACGTGGTGGACAACGGGGGCGGAGGGTATGGGGGGGGTGACGACAACCGGGAGCGTGGTGGACAAGGGTGGCAAGTGGAAGGGGGACACACGGGCAACGTACGAAAACAGATGTATAGGTGGAAGGGGGATATATTTAGTGGGGAGAGGGGATGGAGGAGTATGAAGTAGGGTACAAAAAACAAACAATAGAATCCAGGTGTAATAAGAGGAGGTATAGGGGGGGGGGGGGGGGGGGGACACCACTGGAGGACAGGTCTAGAGGGGAAACTAGGGGAGACGCATGAATGGAGAGGAAAGGACATGTTTGGGAACAACAGGGGCACTTGGCGAATGGGGGTGGAAGGGTGTATGGGGACAGAAGGGAGGGTGAGTGGGGATTCAGTCTTTGATTTTTGACAAAGATATGGGAGAGGGACAAGGATGGGGTGACGACAGATGGAATAGGGGGGGGGTATAGGAAGGGGTAGGTGGGGTTGGGGTGGTGGGGTGGGAGGAGAAGAGAGATTGAACAAGACTGAAAAGTGTGAAAAAAGGGAAGGGGATAGAGTTAGGGGGATGGGAGGGGGACAATGGACAGAAGGGGGGAGGAGAAGGGGTCAGAGGGTGTGGGGGGGGGAGGGGAATGACAGGAAATGGGGTATTATGATAGAATGGGGGGAGGACATGGGAGGTGGAGGGGGTGTAGGGAGAGGGGATGGGGACAACATAGGGGGAAGGGGTTTGAGGGATATGGAAGGATAGGGGAGGGGAAGAGACGAGTGGGGGGAGGTAGAGGGATGAGAGGAGGGTGTTGGTGGGAGAATAAGTCATATGGTGTGGGGCACACAGGTAATCAATGGAGGGGGATAAGACAGGGTATCTATTAAGGGTGTTAAGGGGGACAGGGAGATGGTAGGGTGGACAACGAGGAGGTGGTCTAAGTGATCTGGAAATGAGAAGAGAATGAGCTATGTACACACGCAAGTACTAGAGGAGTACTGGGTAAACGGGAACAGGAGTCACACACGATGTCACGGAGGGGTGTCAAGGGATTAAGATATCATATGGGAAGAAAAGAAAAGAATATCGTTTGAGTGGGCCGACTGGTAGACATAGGGGGGGGGATGTAGTATACGGTACAGGACTCTGCAGTAAGAATGGAGCAATAGGGAACTATGGATGTGGATGAATGGGTATTTGGAGGTGGTATTGAGAGATGTTAGTGGGGGAAGGGGGGAGAGGATCTATTGTTAGAGGTCATGGGGGGTATGAGTACGGTGTTTTCAGTTTTGTGTGATGGGGAGGAGTGAATGAGGATGTAAGGACAAGTCAGGGAGGTGTGAGGGGTTAGGGAGTGGGGGAGTTTGGAGGATTTACACACAGTAAGGGAGTGAGACGGGGGGTGGGGGTGGGGACGACGGTCTGATATTATCTTAACTAGTCACAGAGGTTTTCTTATGTGATGTTGAGTGTGGTGTGATGGTTATATGAATCACTAGAGATGTGAAGGGGGGTGAAGATACCATAGCTGGGCGAGGGGGTATATGGTGGTAGGGTTCAGGGAAGGATTTGTGACTCACGGTTCTGTATGGGTTGGGTAGAGGTTGTCAAGGACGGATGAAGGGACAAACTCTGACTGGGACGAGTGTAATACAACTGTGTGGGTGCGTGAACGCAGATGATAGGGCAATGAGGGATGGATATAACGGAATATGGTCGTTATAGTGAGTGTGGAGGATATATGTTGAGAGAATAATGGACGCAACGGGTACACTGACGGGGGATGGGGGAATTGGATTGTGACAATAATGTGCGAGGGTATACGTCGATAATTGGGGGGATGGTGGGCACGAGGGGGGGACACACACATGAGTGTGAAGTGGTGGGGTAGTATTAGGAGGAATTGAAAGCACGGCCAGAGTGAAAATCATAGCACACAATTGGGATACGGGTGTGGGGCGCGGTTATTTCTGAAGCATACTGGTGGGGGGGGGTTCTTGAGGTATTAGACGCTATTGTGGGGCACAATATATAGAGGTAGGTTAGTTAGGGTAGGTGACTCTGAGGAGCACAGGGACTGGCCTCCTGACTCTGAGGAGCACAGGGACTGGCCTCCTGACTCTGAGGAGCACAGGGACTAGCCTCCTCCTGACTCTGAGGAGCACAGGGACTGGCCTCCTGACTCTGAGGAGCACAGGGGCCTCCTGACTCTGAGGAGCACAGGGACTGGCCTCCTCCTGACTCTGAGGAGCACAGGGACTAGCCTCCTCCTGACTCTGAGGAGCACAGGGACTGGCCTCCTGTCTGAGGAGCACAGGGACTGATTGTGAGACAGACTTCTTCTCTGACAATGATCAAATCCAGGTTAACCCTTTGAGGCCGGGAAGGAGGACACGTCTTTTTCTTGTTTTGACCTTTTCTCTTCAGCTCAAGTGGGAGTCGACCATCAGCTCCATCACCTCCTCCATCACCTCCATCACCTCCTCCATCACCTCCTCCATCACCTCCATCACCTCCTCCATCACCTCCTCCATCACCTCCTTATCACCTCCTCCATCACCTCCTCCATCACCTCCTCCATCACCTCCTTATCACCTCCTCCATCACCTCCTCCATCACCTCCTCCATCACCTCCTCCATCACCTCCTTATCACCTCCTCCATCACCTACTCCATAACCTCCTCCATCACCTCCTCCATCACCTCCTCCATCACCTCCTCCATCACCTCCTTATCACCTCCTCCATCACCTCCTCCATCACCTCCTTATCACCTCCTCCATCACCTACTCCATAACCTCCACCATCACCTCCTCATCACCTCCCCCATCACCTCCTCCATCACCTCCTCATCACCTCCTCCATCACCTCCTCCATCACCTCCTCCATCACCTCCTCCATCACCTCCTCCATCACCTCCTCATCACCTCCTCCATCACCTCCTCCATCACCTCCTCCATCAGCTCCTCCATCACCTCCTCCATCACCTCCTCATCACCTCCTCCATCAGCTCCTCCATCACCTCCTCCATCACCTCCTCATCACCTCCTCCATCACCTTCTCCATCACCTCCTCCATCACCTCCTCCATCACCTCCTCATCACCTCCTCCATCACCTTCTCCATCACCTCCTCCATCACCTCCTCCATCACCTCCTCCATCAGCTCCTCCATCACCTCCTCCATCACCTCCTCCATCACCTCCTCCATCACCTCCTCATCACCTCCTCCATCACCTCCTCCATCACCTCCTCCATCACCTCCTCCATCACAGTGTGGTTCGCTGGAGCCACAGTCAGGGACAAACAGTGCACTGTGCGCTCTGCAGAGCACACAGTTTCTGCAAAAACTGAAGGATTGTATCTGTTTGGATTGTTCTGTGGTGATCTATGATCATCTGTGCTTCTGTGTGAACTGTGCCATACAAATAAACTGGCCTAAAAGCTGTAGCTCCAGTTTGCTCCAGTTTGCTCCAGATCTGGGCCACTTCCTTTTCCAGGGAACAGAAAGTGATCAGCTACAAAACAAGGGAGTGACCGGAGCGATGGCTATCAGAGACTGGCCGGACCAGGCTAGACCAGACCAGGCCAGACCAGACAAGACCAGGCCAAAAAAGACCAGAGCAGGCCAGAAAAGACCAGACCAGGCCAGGCAATTCCAGATCATGCCAGTCCAGATCATGCCAGGCCAGAACAGGCCAGACAAGGCCAGACTAGGCCAGTCCAGACCAGGCCAGGGCTCACATGCATCATATGCAAGCAGTTTGTTTAAAGCTGGGGTACCTAACTTTCAGTCTACAAATATAATGGAACTGCGTGAAATCTATGTCTCTTTCTGGTCTCGGTCAAAGCTTTACGGCTTTTTCAGACTGAAAAGTCACAAAGAGAGACCCCAGAAAGACAGGAGAGACCTGAGAGAGAGACCGGAAAGACAGGAGAGACCTGAGAGAGAGACCAGAAAGACAGGAGAGACCTGAGAGAGAGACCAGAAAGACAGGAGAGACCTGTGAGAGAGACCAGAAAGACAGGAGAGACCTGAGAGAGAGACCAGAAAGACAGGAGAGACCTGTGAGAGAGACCAGAAAGACAGGAGAGACCTGAGAGAGAGACCAGAAAGACAGGAGAGACCTGTGAGAGAGACCAGAAAGACAGGAGAGACCTGAGAGAGAGACACGAAAGACAGGAGAGACCTGAGAGAGAGACCAGAAAGACAGGAGAGACTTGTGAGAGAGACACGAAAGACAGGAGAGACCTGTGAGAGAGACCAGAAAGACAGGAGACCTGAGAGAGAGACCAGAAAGACAGGAGAGACCTGTGAGAGAGACCAGAAAGACAGGAGAGACCTGAGAGAGAGACCAGAAAGACAGGAGAGACCTGTGAGAGAGACCAGAAAGACAGGAGAGACCTGAGAGAGAGACACGAAAGACAGGAGAGACCTGAGAGAGAGACCAGAAAGACAGGAGAGACCTGAGAGAGAGACCAGAAAGACAGGAGAGACCTGAGAGAGAGACCAGAAAGACAGGAGAGACTTGTGAGAGAGACACGAAAGACAGGAGAGACCTGAGAGAGAGACCAGAAAGACAGGAGAGACATGAGAGAGAGAGACCAGAAAGACAGGAGAGACCTGTGAGAGAGACACGAAAGACAGGAGAGACCTGAGAGAGAGACCAGAAAGACAGGAGGGACCTGAGAGAGAGACCAGAAAGACAGAGAGACCTGAGAGAGACCAGAAAGACAGGAGGGACCTGAGAGAGAGACCAGAAAGACAGAGAGACCTGAGAGAGACCAGAAAGACAGGAGAGACCTGAGAGAGAGAGACCAGAAAGACAGGAGGGACCTGAGAGAGAGACCAGAAAGACAGGAGAGACCTGAGATAGAGACCAGAAAGACAGGAGACCTGAGAGAGAGACCAAAAAACAGGAGAGACCTGAGAGAGAGACCAGAAAGACAGGAAAGACCTGTGAGAGAGACCAGAAAGACAGGAGAGACCTGAGAGAGACCAGAAAGACAGGAGAGACCTGAGAGAGACCAGAAAGGCAGGAGAGACCTGAGATAGAGACCAGAAAGACAGGAGACCTGAGAGAGAGACCAGAAAACAGGAGAGACCTGAGAGAGAGACCAGAAAGACAGGAAAGACCTGTGAGAGAGACCAGAAAGACAGGAGAGACCTGAGAGAGACCAGAAAGACAGGAGAGACCTGAGAGAGACCAGAAAGACAGGAGAGACCTGAGAGAGACCATAAAGACAGGAGGGACCTGAGAGAGAGACCAGAAAGACAGGAGAGACCTGAGAGAGAGACCAGAAAGACAGGAGAGACCTGAGAGAGAGACCAGAAAGACAGGAGGGACCTGAGAGAGAGACCAGAAAGACAGGAGACCTGAGAGAGAGACCAGAAAGACAGGAGAGACCTGAGAGAGAGACCAGAAAGACAGGAGAGACCTGAGAGAGAGACCAGAAAGACAGGAGAGACCTGAGAGAGAGACCAGAAAGACAGGAGAGACCTGAGAGAGAGACCAGAAAGACAGGAGAGACCTGAGAGAGAGACCAGAAAGACAGGAGAGACCTGAGAGAGAGACCAGAAAGACAGGAGAGACCTGAGAGAGAGACCAGAAAGACAGGAGAGACCTGAGAGAGAGACCAGAAAGACAGGAGAGACCTGAGAGAGAGACCAGAAAGACAGGAGAGACCTGAGAGAGAGACCAGAAAGACAGGAGAGACCTGAGAGAGAGACCAGAAAGACAGGAAGGACCTGAGAGAGAGACCAGAAAGACAGGAGAGACCTGAGAGAGAGACCAGAAAGACAGGAGAGACCTGTGAGAGAGACCAGAAAGACAGGAGAGACCTGAGAGAGACCAGAAAGACAGGAGAGACCTGAGAGAGAGACATGAAAGACAGGAGAGACCTGTGAGAGAGACCAGAAAGACAGGAGAGACCTGTGAGAGAGACCAGAAAGACAGGAGAGACCTGAGAGAGAGACCAGAAAGACAGGAGAAACCTGAGAGAGAGACCAGAAAGACAGGAGAGACATGAGAGAGAGAACAGAAAGACAGGAGAGGCCTGAGAGAGAGACCAGAAAGACAGGAGAGACCTGTGAGAGAGACCAGAAAGACAGGAGAGACCTGTGAGAGAGACCAGAAAGACAGGAGAGACATGAGAGAGAGACCAGAAAGACAGGAGAGACCTGTGAGAGAGACCAGAAAGACAGGAGAGACATGAGAGAGAGAGACCAGAAAGACAGGAGAGACCTGTGAGAGATACCAGAAAGACAGGAGAGACCTGAGAGAGAGACCGGAAAGACAGGAGAGACCTGAGAGAGAGACCAGAAAGACAGGAGAGACCTGTGAGAGAGACCAGAAAGACAGGAGAGACCTGAGAGAGAGACCAGAAAGACAGGAGAGACCTGTGAGAGAGACCAGAAAGACAGGAGAGACCTGAGAGAGAGACCAGAAAGACAGGAGAGACCTGTGAGAGAGACCAGAAAGACAGGAGAGACCTGAGAGAGAGACACGAAAGACAGGAGAGACCTGAGAGAGAGACCAGAAAGACAGGAGAGACTTGTGAGAGAGACACGAAAGACAGGAGAGACCTGTGAGAGAGACCAGAAAGACAGGAGACCTGAGAGAGAGACCAGAAAGACAGGAGAGACCTGTGAGAGAGACCAGAAAGACAGGAGAGACCTGAGAGAGAGACCAGAAAGACAGGAGAGACCTGTGAGAGAGACCAGAAAGACAGGAGAGACCTGAGAGAGAGACACGAAAGACAGGAGAGACCTGAGAGAGAGACCAGAAAGACAGGAGAGACCTGAGAGAGAGACCAGAAAGACAGGAGAGACCTGAGAGAGAGACCAGAAAGACAGGAGAGACTTGTGAGAGAGACACGAAAGACAGGAGAGACCTGAGAGAGAGACCAGAAAGACAGGAGAGACATGAGAGAGAGAGACCAGAAAGACAGGAGAGACCTGTGAGAGAGACACGAAAGACAGGAGAGACCTGAGAGAGAGACCAGAAAGACAGGAGGGACCTGAGAGAGAGACCAGAAAGACAGAGAGACCTGAGAGAGACCAGAAAGACAGGAGGGACCTGAGAGAGAGACCAGAAAGACAGAGAGACCTGAGAGAGACCAGAAAGACAGGAGAGACCTGAGAGAGAGAGACCAGAAAGACAGGAGGGACCTGAGAGAGAGACCAGAAAGACAGGAGAGACCTGAGATAGAGACCAGAAAGACAGGAGACCTGAGAGAGAGACCAAAAAACAGGAGAGACCTGAGAGAGAGACCAGAAAGACAGGAAAGACCTGTGAGAGAGACCAGAAAGACAGGAGAGACCTGAGAGAGACCAGAAAGACAGGAGAGACCTGAGAGAGACCAGAAAGGCAGGAGAGACCTGAGATAGAGACCAGAAAGACAGGAGACCTGAGAGAGAGACCAGAAAACAGGAGAGACCTGAGAGAGAGACCAGAAAGACAGGAAAGACCTGTGAGAGAGACCAGAAAGACAGGAGAGACCTGAGAGAGACCAGAAAGACAGGAGAGACCTGAGAGAGACCAGAAAGACAGGAGAGACCTGAGAGAGACCATAAAGACAGGAGGGACCTGAGAGAGAGACCAGAAAGACAGGAGAGACCTGAGAGAGAGACCAGAAAGACAGGAGAGACCTGAGAGAGAGACCAGAAAGACAGGAGGGACCTGAGAGAGAGACCAGAAAGACAGGAGACCTGAGAGAGAGACCAGAAAGACAGGAGAGACCTGAGAGAGAGACCAGAAAGACAGGAGAGACCTGAGAGAGAGACCAGAAAGACAGGAGAGACCTGAGAGAGAGACCAGAAAGACAGGAGAGACCTGAGAGAGAGACCAGAAAGACAGGAGAGACCTGAGAGAGAGACCAGAAAGACAGGAGAGACCTGAGAGAGAGACCAGAAAGACAGGAGAGACCTGAGAGAGAGACCAGAAAGACAGGAGAGACCTGAGAGAGAGACCAGAAAGACAGGAGAGACCTGAGAGAGAGACCAGAAAGACAGGAGAGACCTGAGAGAGAGACCAGAAAGACAGGAGAGACCTGAGAGAGAGACCAGAAAGACAGGAAGGACCTGAGAGAGAGACCAGAAAGACAGGAGAGACCTGAGAGAGAGACCAGAAAGACAGGAGAGACCTGTGAGAGAGACCAGAAAGACAGGAGAGACCTGAGAGAGACCAGAAAGACAGGAGAGACCTGAGAGAGAGACATGAAAGACAGGAGAGACCTGTGAGAGAGACCAGAAAGACAGGAGAGACCTGTGAGAGAGACCAGAAAGACAGGAGAGACCTGAGAGAGAGACCAGAAAGACAGGAGAAACCTGAGAGAGAGACCAGAAAGACAGGAGAGACATGAGAGAGAGAACAGAAAGACAGGAGAGGCCTG